ATCCTCATTTCTCCTGCATCTGGTGCTACCTTACAGGAGAGGCAGTTTTAACCTGTCCAGGTCACAGAGTCCATATTTATCATATTCTACTGGCTTAATGGCATATTTATCAGATTAATAGGATCATGCTTTATGGAAGGAGAGCTGTCTGTCAATCTTGGCTAAAACACAGAAGTAAAAAATGACAGAAGCCTCAGCGTGAACCATCAAAGCCCTGATGCATCTTATTAAACCTCAAATACAGAAACAGACAGAAAGAGAATATTTATACTTTTTTTCATCCCCCCCCAACCTAAAAGGGATAAAAAGAAAGCTACTTTTACTAATCTCCTATATGGTAAGACAGGTGGAAAGGAATAGCCAGTAAATGCAACACTTTCATCTGACAATGATTGTGCCAGTGCATCATTGTGCAAAATGTTCACACAGCTAGTAAAAACACATGCTTGTTTGCTAATTTAACACTGAAACTAATTCATTTGAAAATGCATTCCTATTTTTTTTATGACAAACCACTGTATTGTCTTTCTACAAAGTTGTTCACCCATGTGTTTTACTGGGCACACTGTACACTGCCACTCAGTGTACAGTGTGCCCAGTGCTCAGTGCATACTGTACACTATAACTATTTTAATAGGCCATTACATTAAACTGTCTCTCATAATATGTATCCCACAGCCCCATGCTAAGCGTACTGTGTGCCCAGGGGCTGCTGACACAGAGAGGAGGTCTAATGGTCCTGTATTAGTGGGTTAATTGCCATGTCCTGGTCTCCACTGGATTGTGAGTAGGGTGTTTTAGTTTAATTGTGAACCATCCTGTCCTGTAACCCCCCACACCAAGAGGCCTGGCACTGGTGCATGGAGGGAGTATTAAGTCTTGGAGATGGTCTTCATGATCCCTCTTGGACAACTGAGATGGTAGTAGACTGCCACCTGCTGGCACCATGGTTAAAACAACCCTACAATAGAGTCCACACAAAATTGTGATTCAGATCTGACAGATTTAGAATGAATTCGGACACAGTATGTTGCCTACCATCACCTTTCACTGTGGTTTATCAGTTGCTGCATGCACATACAGTATATTAGGCCAGTGTTATAAAGTGCAACTAGAGACACTTTGGAGTTTCTTGTTCTCCACCTCCACCTCCCTACTCCTCCTCCCTCTACCTCCTCCACCTTCTTCTTCTCCACCTCCTCCTCCTCCTCACTTCTCCTCCTCCACCCTACTCCTGCTCCCTCTCCGCCTACTCCTCATCTTTCTCCTATCCCATCTCCTCTTTCAACTTCTACTGTTCCTCTTCCTTCACCTCTTCCTCCTCTCCATACTGCTCTTCCTCATCTTCCTTATCTTCCTCCTTCTGCTCTCTGGTGTCCTCTACCTCTTCCTTCATATCTTTCTGGATCCATTGTTCCAAAACTGGATGAACTGACTCTGGCCCTTTAACAGTTTTTTTTACAACTGCACAGTTTTCAAAACTATGTCTCCTTTTTTTCAAAACTCTACACACAATTCCCCAAACTGCCACACAAAATGCAATATGACTCATATGTCCTTCAAAATGAAACACCGCATTCAAAATGCCATAAGCACATCCCAAAATGAAGATGGGAAACATTTTTTTCATAATAGTAAATTATTGGATATACCATTTACACACTGTTGTTCTAAATCTTTTGTCTTTCATAGGCTTATGTGTACATTTCCATACAATGCTCTTGAGTGAAAGTAATCTGCTAAGAGGTGCTGAAAAGTACACTGTAAACACAAATGCATGTTGAAACAGAAAATATTTATTTAGCAAAACATTACGGTTGCAACAGCAGCAAAGTGTACAATATATACACATCATACAAGAAAAGGAAAACATAAATGCAAACTAAAAGTATAATTTATTGCTAAAAATTAAAACATATTTTACAATAGTGTACTGCTGAAATAACCATTAGATTGTTGCAACCTGTTCTACTTTCTGAAGGTTCAAATTATGGATGCCAATGTAAAGTGACTCAAGTTGGGCTGGACACTCAGGCCAGCTTCTCTCATTGTCAACCTGTGGTTGATCACATGATCAATAAGTGTGGCCAATCTCATGTGACTGACCACATGGTTCTCCTTCCTTCTCTTCTTTGCCATCATCCTCTTCCAAGTCCTCCTCCTCCTCTTCCAACTCTTCCTTCTTGAACTTGTCCTTGTTGTCGTCCCCTGCCTCTCCCTCCTACTCCCCTTACTCTCTGTCCATTGTTGGCATCCATTGTTGAAAACAGGTAATCTGACCTTTGACCTATTTATAGTGCTACTGTATACTAAAGCAATGATTGGTTAGTGATCACTCAAGCAGTTAATGTTTGCACATGTGAGGAGTGTGTGACCTGTTGAATAAGAGTAGCATTTGGATTGGTTGTGTTTTAAAAAGGAAAGCAAGTCACTTCCTGTTAGATTTTTGTGTCTTAGTAGAATTATGTGTAGTATTTTTTAAAAAAGGTGAAAATTGAGTGAAGGGCTGAGAAATAGCTTATGGCTTTGGATATTTGAGGTGAGGTTTTGCTCTTTGAGAGCGAGGTTTCAAAAATCATGTGACATATAAAGATTTTGTGTGTAAGCAGTTGTAAAAAACTGTATCTATCTATTGAAGGTTCTGATTGGTGTGTTATCAATTTTGACTCCTTGTGTTTCCACCTGGGTAGTTTTCTTAATGACCACATGGTGTAGGCAATGAGAAATCAAGGGATTTGTGTGTGTGGGTGTGCTTTTTGAAAAATGTCATGGTTTTGAAATTTTAGTTCAACAGCCTGCTTATAGTGTTTAAGCAAGTGAGAAAAACTGTAATAAGCAGATGCCATCTAACGTCCTGCCACAGAGGGAAATGTTGAACCTATTTCCAGTAGCAAAACTTAAGATGTTAATCCAAAAACCTTAAAACTAGCCAGTCATGGTGTTGGTTTCATCAGAAGCTTTTTCTTGAATTGTTTGCTCTTGTTATTCATGCTATTAGATGTTTTGTAATAATATCGGCATTGTGATTGGCTGTTGCATAAATTTAATGTAAAAAAAAGTTCAAATTGTTACTTATTTTTACTATATATTTACATGCAGCCTTTTAGTTCATTAAAAAAAGATTGCTAATTTGATCACTTCTTGAATCACAAACCTAACAGACTAACAGGGTTTAAACCACAATAATTACTAGTTAACCCTGAAACAATATGAAGCTTTATAATATATTTATATTACCCCTCAGTGGTATTCTTCATTTCTGTGATAGCAGACTATTGTTCTTTCAGTGTTTAATATGTGGACAAGGAGAACAAGCTAACACATAGATCCTCAGTTGTGGTCCTTTTTGTCAACCTTCACTGACTGCACAGGAAATTTACATTTTAATGGCTCAAACTGCTCAATGCCGCCTGTATCAGAGTGAAAGCTCAGCTGAAACCACGGGTGACTGCCCCCAAACAACTCACTGAGACAAACCAGCTCCCACATAAACACCGGCACAAAAACAAAAACCTTGACAATGTCATAAAAGCTTTTGGCTGCACTTCATATTATCAATAATTTTATTAGATATCATTTACTATTATGCAAATTAAAAGAGGCCCAGTGTCTTTGGTAGAATATTCTGGCAGGACAGCTAAAGCCCCTTCAGATTAGTCATCGTAACCTGTACCTACTGTCGCCATATGTGACAGTAGGTACAACAGAAATATGGTAGAATGTGGATTGAAAGTCATTGTCACGTGACATAATATACGCAGAGAATCCTCTGATGTGTTAATTATACTTTTCATTTACCTGACACTTTCAGATTTTCTTCATCTTAGTCCCTTTAATCAAACAACCAAAAACCTCATGTAAATCAAACTAGTGAACATGCCAAAAGCTATTAACCCCAATAAATTCCGTAATTCTCATTTGCCCCCCCCAGCAATTGGAGAGTTGGATTCGTTATTTAAGACTTTCCATACAGTTGATGTGATTTTATAATGCAGCGATGTTGAAGACAATAAACCTACTCAAATGTCTTCATTACCAGCCTTCCTCCTCTCTCCATGTGTAATTTAACTTCTAGTGTTTTATTTTTGTATGTCAAACACTAAACACATGAGCCGAGATTAATTGGATACACTGTATGATATAATGCACCAGTACAAGTTGAATGAGAATTATAGTGCAAGCAAAGGTTTGGAAATATGAACTTGTATGTGCGCCTCATGTCCTATTTGTTATATCATGCTGCCATCTTGAGGTAAACAGCTGTATGACAAATTTTATTTGGTGCCCCCTCCCATATTGTTTACACACTATTTGCTATATGTTTATAAATTAACATGTATGCTTCAATTACAAAGAGATAATTGGTTTAAGTAGTTTATGACAGAAATTCATAATGGTCCTGGTGTTTATGCTGCTGCTTCTAGCGCTTTACCAAGTCAAAGGGATTTCCTGATAATTTGAAATCTATCCATTCACCCTGCTGCACCTAGGATAGAAATCAACGGTGTTAGATAATTTTTGGATTTCTGGTCGCCTTTTTCACAGCAGACATTTTGACTTTGTCATGATAGGGGAAGCACATGTGTCACGTATAAATTTAACAGTGGTTCTGTTTAGTTCAGGAGTTCCAGTAAGCCATGACAGTGTGACAGTGAGCCAGCATGTATTACAGGACCCTGAAACCAAAGCAGATAAATGGAATACAGCCATCATTAATTTCATAATTTAAACCTGTAATTTTTCCCACTGTGACCTGTCAATATGTCCTTAGTGACAAAGGAATACTATCACAAATCAACTCTACCTTGTCAGGATGCAATTATCAGGCTTTTAAACTTACCTGTAAAGGTAATTCATGCAATATGAACCACTGTTTACATTTAGGTTTTTCAGATGTAATACTTATTTTAATTTGTTTGTTTGTAAGAAAAAATGCCCATGAACACTCATCAACAATATGGTATCAATTCAATTACTCACAATGAATGAGTCAATGACAATACTTTAACCAACAATTACTTTTATTATTAATCAGAGGATTATAGATATTGAATGTGATTTGGTTTTTCAGGGATGCGGTTGTACCAGCTATGGTACTGAAAGAAAGATTTGTTAGAGTATAAAGGATATGCACAAAGGATGTGAGGTCTATATACAAATTTAACACAAACACATGCACCTCAACAATGTGACCCAAAGTAAAAACCTGTTACAGAAGGGTCTATTTTGCACACTGTAAGATTTTAATTGTTGATTTGCAATGCAAGAACCAATCAATTGATGCTTGATTCAGCAGCCTGCATCAGTAACTTAACTAACTCATGTGTTTACTGTATGTTATCACTGGGTTTTATCTCAGGGTCTGCTAATGCTGAGGTGTAACCACATACACAAATTAACAAATTGCTACTTATCCTTTGAGGCAGACTGTACAGTGTGACATAAGAACAGAAAAGTATGCATAGCTGATGGGTCCCATATGAAAACATGTATCTGAGAAATCCTCTGAGGCTATATGCATTTGGAACCACAAATCAGCTAGTAGGAAAATATCTGGCATCATCTGTTTTTGTTTCTTGAAGTGAAACTTTATGATGGAAAAGACTTAATGTCAGGCCTACATATGCGAAATAATAGTTAAACAAAAGATTCTGTTCACATGTGATTTCTCAGGTTATAGTCAGTTGTGAGGCACTCATATTTGACAGGCAGTTTATTTACAAATAGCAGACCCATACACACAAAGAAAAGAAAATTTCCAAAGAATGCTGGGTAAAGGGGAATTTATGTTCAGGAGATTTCAACAATCAAAGCATCATTTCCCTCATTCTTGGCGTAAAGAGCATCAAAAAGTACTCAAAACATCGGTCATCAGCAATTTACTTTATAAAAATATCACCATGGAGATCCACAGATTCACAGATTTGACCGTGGAAAGAAAGACAGATTTACAGTAATCCACACAAAGGAAAAATGGAAAGAAATAATTTGGGAACACAATGGTCGGAGGAAAAGATGAGCAGTGCAGACAGAGTCCCAAAAGGCAAAGCTTGAGCAATTCTTGCTTTACGGTCTCTAAATGGACACCTCTTTACCTTTTCACTTGTCCTGTAAAGACCAGACAAATACATCTGTTAAACTGAATCATAATGATAGAGAATAGTACAATTTGAGATACAAATAAACATTTAAAATACAGTAAAATGAACTTTGCACTTTTGAAACTTTGGAAAAATGTAATAATGTACCACTATATAGTGCTGGCATAATAAGATTTATTATAAAAGAAATACTGTTTATCAGTATTGTCTTGCACATTTCAAATGTAGTTATTATAATTGAGGTTCAGGAACAAGACCACGCTTCTCTCTCTCACTAATCCAACCACCTGTGCTTCACTCATTTCATCCACCTGTGGCTCTCTCATCCAATCACTTGCACATATATATAAAAGCCCCTTTCAATGGGCAGCACTGTGGCCAGTGGACAGCAATGTGGCCTCACAGCAAGAAGGTCCTGGGTTCAGAACTCGGTCATCCCAGGACTTTCTGTGTGGACTTTGCATGTTCTCCCCGAATTTGTGTGGTCTCTGGTTTCCTCCCACCAATGACACCCATGCTGAAATTCATAATTCTGCCAAAGTAATTGTTCATAAAGCAAGACGCTTATAGAGACGTGCCCCCACCCTGAGTCTCTATCCAAGGGTTCCTAGCCGCTCTGGCCAGCACGAACCTGATCAGCCCCCTTCATCCCTCCCCTCTCGACTTCGCCATCCTTCCCTTCCTGAACCTTTGCGCTAACCTAAATAAACTCCCTGTTGTACCTCAATTTCCATGGTCTTAGTTAGTGAATAAACCTAAATTGAGAAAATATACAGTGAAATACCAACGTTCAGTATGACAAACATGACACAAACAGAAAAAATATATCATGAGAAGATATATTGTTGGATATGTTACTTTACAGTGGACACCTGTTAATTGCTCTAAACGTTTATGATCAAAAGCGCAATCTTTAATATATTCACAAATGATAAACAGCAATTTAATTAATGACTACTGCTGGACAAAGTTATCATCTGAAGTTACAACTATTTTAAGTATTTAAAAAAAATAACTAATGGATAAGATGTTTTTCTCTGATTCATACCAATTGAAAGATTTTATCTGATCCGGTTCTGACCATTATTTTTTCCAATTATTCCTTAACTTTTCTACATTTATTTATTTGTTGGCCACTTCAGTTATTTTGTCAATCTTTTCTTAAGAAACAAGCACATAACCAGATAACAAAATACTGACTTACATACACTAAAGCAAAGTACTGCTACTATATACTTTAAAAACACTGTTAACAAAATATGCATATGATGTAGACGTTACAATCACACATATACAGTTGTTATTGTACCCAACATTATACATGTTACTGAAATGTTAGAATGACAGAAATGCAACATTTAGAAAAAGTCAAACTCTTGAATAAATATTTTACTTTAATTTAGGGGTAAACAAACAAGAGGCTACGTGTCAACTGCACCAACACTGTGTTTCAAATTGTCACCAACCAGTAGTTGTGTATACGTGATCAGTAAAAGAAGAGAAGTAGATGAAAAAGGAGAGCGATTGGGTCCTTTGTAGAAAACTATGTCTACAAAGCACCAACTCAAGCAGTGAAACCAGATCAGAATGTGTGGCTGGCTGGGAGAGGTAGTCATAATAGCAGAAGTGTCATGTGACAGTGAGTGAGATGTGCTTTCAGCACTAGAGGGAGATCTCACCTCATAGTTCTTCAGCAGTAACAGCCAAAGTAGACAGTGACAGGGTTTAGTATCTAGAATGAGACTGCCAGTGCTGTAGGAGCAGGAAGAAGAAGACAGTTGGCTCTATATATATATATCTTTGTGATTACTCAGTCAGTTGGAAACCATTAGCACAGATACAATTAAAGCCACAAAACAGCTTTTTAAAGTAAAATAACTGTGATTGACCCATCCATCCAATAATACTGTTGTATGTTGTAATGTGCATTTACACACTATGTGTGATTGCAGCATAAAACATGATGACATGACATTTATATGTAGTGGAAAGGAGATGACATCACCACAATGTGAATAATGTAAAGTCTGACACGTCACTCTCACTCCTCCATGTAGATGAAGTATGGAAATCTAGGATGCAAAATGACCTCTAACCACAGAGTGAGAGGAGGAAACGTGTCCTTTCTTCTTCAGCTAAGACCATGACCACTAGCTCTCATTGATGATTACAGTGATGCAAGATGAGGTGGATGGTGCCCTCTGCTGATGAAACATGAGATGACGGCAGGATGACAGCCAGATGGGAAAGGATCAGGACAGCACACTGGTGTTCTGTGAATCCACGTCTTGCATGCTCATGACATCTGTACTTACTCCGCTCTCATATATAGGGTTGTCGAAAGCTGACTCTTCTGTCATGTTGTCGTACGGTGGCGAGGATGTTGGCATTCTGATAGCCTTCCCTTGGAGTCTGAGTATAGAAATGGGGAACATCGTGTAAAGGCTACTTGGATTCCAAATAAAACAAATACGGTTTTGAGTTATTACTTACTTTGCAAAGTAGACATAAATCCCGAGGACAACCACCAAGATGATCGCAGTTGGAATAAAAACTGCAAGAGTAATATTGGTTCCCTCCATGCTATAATCCATATTAACAACTACAATGGGGGAAACACAAAATAGATGAGATTTATAGGAAATATGCACAAAAGATAAATATTAATAATATTAATATATTGGCACTGCAATGTTTGAAAAAGACAACTCACCATCTAGCCTGCGTTCGTTTACATACTGATTTGTGGAAGCTACAAAGACACAATTGCAGCTTAGTACAGTGCATATATTAAACTTATGTCCAAAATAAGTACAGAGTCTGCATTCACAAACAGCAGCAAAATCAATAGCACATTATATAGTCTAGGTCGCATTTTATTTCTGTATGTTGATGAAACCTCAAAAGGTTTTGTGGGCATGGTTTACCTCTGCAGGCGGGGGGAGTGCTATTCCACTGTGATGGGTGTCCGGGGATACAGTATATGGTGGCCCCGCCCTGCAGCTCGTAGCCCGAGTGGCAGGAGAAGGTCAAAATCTCTCCTGCTTGATAAAAGGCCTTTTCAGAGCTCTGCACACTGGTGGAGGCAGCGCCAGGGTTCCTGCATGGCTCGTACTTTTCAGCTGGGAGGCAGGACAAAATTGTACGTCACAAAAATATTATATTTGTCTTTTTCAACAGTAGACAGTAACACAGACATTCATATTAGCACACGTGAAAAACAACAGGCACGTAAAAGGCAAGATAGGCCTTATATTTTGTACTTTATGGAAGTATAGATAAAGGCCCTAACTATAATGAAATTACAGGGACATGCTGTAGAAAAGAAATCTAGCAAAATTAAAATAGACACCTTAAAGATCTTGTATCTTGTATTGAATTAGTACATACGCACATGTTTTAAAATTCAGAGGATATCTGTCACAAAGTATCTGTCAAAACTTTACATAAAGTCGAGGCAAGCTGAAATTAATTAAAATTTAGAAACATGCTTCTTGAGTTCTTTGTCATAATGGCAGTGTGACATCATCAGTATCTACTTTTTTCTCCGTAGTTCTCCAAATGTGGCTACTGCAGAAGTGCAGAAGGACTTAATAACCCTCGTTGAACTTTTGAAGGCCATTGACAAAGAATAAATAATTCACTATACGTTGATTAGTTGTGGCTCGTCATCATAGAAACATTACAGTGTGTGTGCGTGTTAAGTATGTTTGCATGTTTAATATATGTGTTTCTGACTCCTGCGACTTACGGAAACACTTGGGCAGCCTCTCACTCCACTTGGGTGTGGCTGAATCTCGGTTGTAGCAGGTGAGGAGGCTGCTGCCAGACAGGATGTAGCCTTTATTACAGATAAACTGCACTGTCGATCCAACGGTGAAGCGGCTGCCTGTGAACACTTTATGACTGTGCTCCACATTTCCAGGGTCTTGACATGTCATAACTGGTGCATCACAAAAACAAATGACGATGATTATTTATCATTGTCATTAGTGGTAGTATAGTTGACTAATAAAAATTTATTTTTAACGGGGAAAGTAATTATACCCGTCTTAAGCCCACATAAGATAATTAAGCACTATTTACAGTATAGACAAGGATTTTTGAAGTACACCCCAAAACTGGAGATTGGCAGTTTAAAAAAAAAGGATCAACACTGATGCAGCAGATTTAGAGAAGGAGCCACGACAGGCTTTAAACAACCTTTTACACATTTGCAATAGCACTCCCTGAGACCTGTAAACAGACTTTGATGTATAAAATACTAGATTTTGTGTGCTTCCTCTCACCTTCCTCACATCTCGGCACATCACCGCTCCAAGTAAGATCCCACTGGCACATGAGGATCTCAGAGCCTACCAGCTCATATCCAGGGTAACACTGGTAGGTGATGACTGTGCCGTGGATGAGGTCAGGGTGGGAAGTGCTTTTCCAGCCATTGGTGATCTCTGGCAGCTCAGAGCAGGTGTCGTTCCTCGGCACCTCTGTTGGTGTTGCATTGTGTTGGCAGGAGAGGAGACACAAAATAGGAAATGGAAAACTTAGACAATGGTACTGGGAATACAGAAATACTTAAATAATTCCACATTTTCTTGTGTAATGAATGTTACATTTTCATTCTTTATATGGGATCAAGATTGTAAAGTTAGACAAGGAAAACACTGCATTAATATGCAACATCCTCCTCTGCAGGGAATGAATACAACCTCAAAATTGTCTGTTTTGTGTGTACTATACAGCTGCAGTTTGGGAGGACAATGTAAATAGAGGCTTGCAATGTTTGCTGGGAGGAACATAGCAAATGGTTTGGCGCCCGTCAATCTGAGCCTCCCTAACTGCCACATACATGGCCAAGAACACAAAGCACTGGGCGAAAACAGCTGATGTTGAAGTGTACCCTATTATTGTGTTTCTATGTTTGTCGCTATCTAATCCTGTGCACCTGGGATAAGTCAGAAGACAGACAGAGGCACAGCACGGAAGGAAGGAAAAATTTTCTTTTTCAGTTACCTGCTGGGTTCTAGGTATGAGAACATTTTAAATTCCACACTTGTTACCATTTTTTGGTTTCCGTCTGTCTTGCAATTTTACTGAAAAAGAACAAAACAAAACCACAGTCCTACCAAAGAAGTGGACAACAAAGCCATTGTTGTAGCCATAGATGTTGGTGGCAGGATCTGACTGAAATTGAATAGTGACATCAGCCATGGAGGTATAGAGCTTGAAATGTGGTCGTGTGCCGCTGTATTGGCCCAGTATGTTCGCTGTAAGGTCATCGCCATCATAGAAGGTCAGCAGGTCATTCTTACCAACATGGAGACTGGAACAGACAATAGAAAAGTGGTTACAGTTGCATTTCTTCCTAATGAATATACAGAATGCCCCATATCTGTGGTTATGTGGCCTGTTTACTGTGTTTTTTGCTCAGAGCCTCAGAAAACTTAAGTGACTGGTATCCTCCTCGGCTGATGAAACCAAAAGCTGATGACATAAGGCGATGTCAGCAGTACTTTTTAAATTATTTCTTATTAATTCTGTTTATATTGGATGGATCTGATGTGAAGTAAACATTAAATAATTCATGATGTCTGTCTCTGCGCAAACCCCCACCCCCCAAACACACACACACACACACACACACATATTACTCACATGAATATGTAGTGTAAATCTTCAAATATGAGCATAATATAAAATGATACTTTAGGTCACTACACCTATACAAAAAAGCTGCAATACATGGCAACCAGGATTAAAGAAAAAGAATGAGGACGAATGGCCACTACATAACTAAAATAATTAATAAAATAATATAATAAATAAATATCCAATAAATTATCTAAACATCTAAATGCTCATATAGAATTGAATATGAGGTAGCCGATCCATAGTTCGACAGAATCTCCGCTGTTATTGATTAACGTAAGAATGCATTAACCTTTTCCATTTGGAGATTTATATGTCCTTGCTGCCCTTTATACAGCGTCAGTAAAGCTTGACATTTATTCATACACAGGGGATGGGGAATGGTGAAAAAAATGACAAGCCACAGAAGATGTAGTTCCCTGCTGATATAATAAGCAGGGTAAACTAGTTGCTCTTTGTGTGCCTTGAGGTGGGTGTCAAAATAGAAATGCAGATTGACTGTATGATTGTTTTGTGTTAATATTCACAAGCTCTGCTGAACAGAACTTAAGGAGCAATTATTTTGTAGCTATGAATCACCTGTCCCCTGCATTAGCTCTCCACCACCATTTACTGTGCATGATCAAGCAATCAATCAAGGGCACAAACTATTTTCAGGAAACCAGTGTTTTCCCAAAATACTACAGATAATAAACCTCCCAGCTTTTCTCTATTCCTTTTGCTTTAACACAAATTACAAGCTGCACTGCCTGAAAATCGTATCCCCAACTCCTCTCACAGCTGTAGTTGTAATCACACCTTGTTCTCAAATCATCTGTCATTACCTTGTCCTGTATTTACTCTCTTTGTCACTGACTTTGTCAAAAAAATACTTCAAACATCCATATGTCCTTATTCTAGGAACCGACAAAATAAAAAAAATCATACTGTAAAAATCTGACGTAAAAAGTAGAAAAACAAATCCTGCCTGTGTTTGTTGTATATCCACATTAACCAATAATTTACTGTATATAATTAGAACCACAAGGTGTATGTTCATGGACTACCAGTTGAGGCAAAACTTTAAGACAAAAACATCATCAGAATGACTAGATTTTACTCTCTGCTTGTGCAATGTCCTGGTGCTGAAATGAAAACTAAATTCCAGCCTCTGCTGATGGACACAAATAATAGATGCTAGCTGCATGAATGAGAGTGAAATGAGGTGCTGAGTGACAAGGTACTCCCCCTAGTTAGTTGGACAGCTATAGGGACAATTTACACCTCCATGTTCTCTAACAATCAGCAGCTGTGGGTAGAAGTGACAGGAATGACAATGCCAGTTTCCATTTCCAAGATGCCACAAGAACACTTCATGCATATATGGAAATGGGGCCTCTCAAAATGACATTTGTTAAAGTGTGCAAAAAAGAGAGAAGGAAATCAACAAAATAAACTAATGATATTTTCACACTATAGGCTCCTACATTTGTGGTTACTATATGAATAAGATGCACCCTGCACATAGGCAATGGGGATTTTGATTAGCAGTCGGAGTAATAGTGTCACAATAAAACGGGGGTGTCTATTTGAAGTCCGCAGAGGATCACCACAGGCAAATTGTTTGCATCTTTTTCTATCACCACATCTCTCACTTCATTTCTATTCAAGCTCTATCCTCCACCTGCTGCTCGTGTCAACAAGGCTGTCCACATTATTGTTGCACTGTCTTTCACCTTATCTCCTCCTAGAGGTCTCCCTGCATTCAGACTACCCTAGAAGAAGAGTTGACAATCCAACCGAGTGATTACCTCCAGTCTCTGCATTTTGTCCAACTCAACACAAAAATATAGCACTTGCTGCTCCCCACAGGTTTAGCAACTCTCTAGAGGGTCTCTACATGGCTCTAGTTTTTAAATTCACTACTTTTCCTCCACACTGGTGTGTCTTATCAACACCACAACCCATATTCTTTAGCTTGTTTCACTAATCGGTATGGTGATTAAGCGCAATAGAGTTGTTGCTGATCTTCCTTTCCTGATAACCGTATACAACGAACATGTTGCACTTGATGGTAAAATCTGATTTCAGTCTTTTTTATCTTTCAAAAGTCAAAGCAGCTCAAGATTGAGCCTGTACTTCTCCGTTTCTCATCTTCATCATGGAGAGATCACTTAGAGGTAAAATCTGTCTTCACACTTTCAGCTGAGGCCTTGGTCTTGGGCATCTGTAAAATATTTTTGCTGTGCCATCCCACAAACATCTGCAACATCAAAACTAAATTCTGCTTTTTCTGTCTGACTGGCTAAGACAGACTTATACCCACCTTAAAATCAACTTTACAAGATAGATCTTCTTTGGGGGATAAAAAACTTGCATCTGCAGTAGTCATTTCACAACTGATGACAAGTCAAGAACAACAAGTATTTTGGTCTGATGGACAAGATGCAAGGCCAATACTGCAACTATATTTATAGTCAACTGCATTGGCAAATCGCACGCTTTTGTACTTGATACACTGCAAACTTTCCTCATGCCTGCGTTCTAAACAGTCTCCCCTGACGCTCTAACTCATCAAGAATGCGGGAGTCAACCTTGGTTTAAAATTTCCCCACTGACCTCATCCATTCAGTCACTCCACTGTTTGCTTGAAGTGTTTTCAAAATCCTGGTGACAATACAGAATGCCAAACACACAGTACCTTCAGTCCAGACTTACACAGCACTCTGTGGTTAATCACTACAGGGCGCTCAGCTGCCTTCTCTGTAGCAACCTGGCAATTGCTCCACCCAAATGTCATCCCACCTGGCTCCTTTTAATGGTTTCCCCTCCAGATAGGGAAGCAGCCACTCCTTGCCTGGTGTTGCAGATTTTAAATTAAATATATATCCTTCATCAACGTTGCTTGGGTGTTTGCATAGTTCCAGCGGTCTGTTTGAAAAAGGACTTTTAGAGAATTTCTGCAAACTCCTCTGCATGCCAATGGCACCAGCTCAATACTGCAGACAAGGGGATGGCAGCTGTGTTTTGTACAAGCTTCTAGGCATTTTGTCACCTTCACTGACCTGTCAAGTCAAGTCCAAGGAACCTGGCAAATCTCCAGTAACTCAAACAGAATGGAAATTGCTTTCAATGTCAAGCTTTCAAAAGGCAGCTTATTACATCTTCTCGTAGACATATTTGACATTTGAATTGTTGCGCTCAGCGAAAAAAAGGTTCTCTTTTGAAATAAAAATAACCTTTTAGTTTCCAGCTATACATAACCCCAGCACAAGGGGACTTGCAGGTAACATGTAATGCTCAGAGTATCCACAAGAGGACTCTATAAACCCAGAATGCCCTATCTAAGGCTCCGATTCTGCTCAGTAAATTGACACAAACGTAATTACCACTGTAACAGACTTCCTTCACCATGTTGAAATGTAAAAGACATTTCTAGATACACTACAATCTGAATGCTAAAATTTACATGTGAACAATTTAACCTTTTTTGTGTTCCACAGGTGGAGATATCAACTGTAACCTCTCCTCTCTTGCTCGAGCCATGCTCCATGCTAATTACCAAAGCGCCAACCCTCCTGTTTGGCCTAAATTAATTAATCAGTCCTCATTATGCACACTGCTAGTCTGTAATTGCCAGCACAGGCACAGTGATGAATGATAATACAGAAAACATTCTCATTATCGTGGAAAAGTGTGTGCCCACCCTCATAATGAAACAGCTCTCATCTACAAGAGCCTATTGTCACTTCAACATGCATCACACGAGCATACAAAAACACTTTTAACAAAAATTACATTTTGACCGCGCCTTTTGGAATGCTATTCTCAAGATGAGCGGATCAGACATGAAGGTAATGTGGGAGAAAGGGGGGGATTCTACGGGAATCAGACAAGCTGTGGGTTTCTACTGCCATGAAGGCCATGCATGACTAACCTTGAGATAAACCAGAGCTGGCCACAGCAACATTCATTTGCAGCGAGTGGCCTCATGTGGCTCGGATTAAAACAAACAACTGGTGCAATTTTAGAAAGAGATCTCTGAATGAAAATCAGTTTACCTCAAATCAAACTTGTTTACTTGGTAGAAAAAATCCTCTCTGATCTTTTTTACCCTAGGTGCACTGGTTGACTTTCAACATCAGACATTAATCACTGAGCCTTAATCTCCAACTAAAGAACAGGTAGGCAAGCGGGGTCACACAAACCCATGTGTGGTATTCAGACACTGTGTATTATCGGTATCTTCTGAAGCTATAATTCCCTTTTGATCTGTGGATCATATTTGAGTGATGGTTCACATCTCAGTTGCTGTAAGCCTGAGCGATAATGTTTGGGGCATTATGTGCATTGAGAAAATGCAGCGGCATACAAAACTGAGTCCTTACAAAAAAACATCCACACTTCCATCAAACTCTCTGTTGACTCTCTGCCACAGCTGTGAGGGAATCCCTGGAGCTATTCTAATCAGTATATGTTACTGAATTCAGCAACATCTAAAAATATTGTCATGCAATGCAAATGTTTGCAATTATAATCTGTTGTCAAAATGACAAATCTAATATTATTCTAATATATATTGGTTGAAATTATATGCGTACAATTCTCAATCTTTTCAGTGAAAACATAGTGACATAGTGAGAATTATGATTGTTGACTGTGACCACGCTGATCACTGGGGGCAGTGCAGCTTCTGCCCAAATTGTGTCCAGATTGAGGTAAATAGCAAATACTGTTTTCTTGTGTTTATTGCGGTGTCATCAATGGTTTGTAGAATACACAGAACACAAGATGATTCATTGCCCCAAAAAACATTGTTGAATCACCACACAGACGAGTCTCAGATCTCGTTCCACAAAGATTGCACATCATATTGACTTTTTGTTACATGCCCATTATCTTATTCAATGAAAAAAGTTTCATTAATTTTTTACACATTGCTCATGTCCACACAAAGATGTGTATAATTAAAAATCTTTTTCACTTTAATGGAAAAGATATTTGTGCAGATTGTTGAAAGTGGGTTTTTCCTGTCTTTTTATTGCCCAAAAGAACTAGGTAATGCAACTCAAAAATATCTAACAATACTGATGCTTTTTCTCAGCGGTCTACTACTGTGGATTACAATACGTCTGCACATGATCCAGACCTCATGTCATAATCAGACCTTGTAATTTTTTCAACTGTTCAGAAACATATATTCATTCTTACAGCTAGAGTGAATGAATGGTGAATCGAGAAAACCAAACACAAAAACTGAAGGGTGCAAATACAAGCATAAATGGCCACCATGACCAATAGCTAACAATAGCTTCTTCTGTTTGAGATTTGTCAGTGACTCTGTTTTTCTCTAACCTCAGGCACTATTCCCGCTGGTTTAATTTGAACCACTCTGCACCCTCTTGTGTGCAAGTGCTTCAGGCAATAACAGTAGTTTTTGTGCTTTCTTCAGGATGCATGTTCATGTAAATATTGTGGGAATCACTCAAATCAGCAAACAGATGAATATATATAAGATAAGCAGACACAGATGCAGATTCTCGTGCATAGACTTAAATAGTTTAGTTTTTAAAGAAACATTAACTGTAAGAAAACAAAGCAATGTGATTATTCATTTAAGAGCAGTAACGTGGATAAAAAAGTAGGGTTGTATGTGTGGGGGGGTGGGGTTTAGTAAGTCGTATACAGCAAGAGTGATGGATGAAGGAGAAATGGAGTGTGCCTCTGTCTATTTTGACATCTGTGTGCATGTGTGTTGAATGAATGTTGAATTACAGTTGGGAAAGCTGGATAAGTGGCTCAGAGTAGTTCTCTGCCAGAGCATATTCATTTCAAAGCCAACTCTAAGACACACACCAGGGAAGTGGGAGCAGGGAGGCTTACTGGCTAATCTGGTCAGAGAGCGAGCTGGAAGCTACACAGAATTCTTAATGTAACGAATAGGGAAAAAAATCTAATTAGTGACTGCAACCACAGAAACGCTTCCCCATGTGCATTTCATAGTGTGTCCGTGCGAGTGTGAGAAAAGATGAGAAAGAAACTCAGAGCATGTGTGTCTGTGTCTGGAGATGGAGATGGAGTGTTTAACATCTCGAGGTCAATCTGACCTCCTCTCTAACCGCCTTGTGTGATTTCTAGTCTTACACCTGAGTGCAGTCTCTTACACTTGTATGTCAAGCATGATCCTCTTGTCCTCTTCCACATGGATACCCCAGATGCAGTCCTGTCCCTTGTCATAGGCCTCGGGCCAATTAGGAGACAACACCACACCAGCAGAGTCTGTGATTTCACCGCTGCACACAGCTTCAACACACAAACACCTCAGGTTAACACTGAGAAACAAATATAGACACTGATTTCTGGACCCAGAGAATTTGGATGGTAATCAATTTAACATAAATTTAAAAAAGCAAAGGAAATATCAATCTTGGTTAAAGAAAATCTATGTTGATACATGAACTACTATGTGACTTCATAGAATGAAACTCTGGTTTTGATGTTTAATAAAACACAGCTGAAATCGAGTGCGCAGGCTCCTTGAGATGAACCTCGTAAAACTGCACACTACCACTGAACCGCTTGGTGACCATGACCCACAGAAGCAGAAATTAAATTTTCTCATATCTAGCTTTACTAGAGTGCTTTTCAATTTCACTGTGTGGCAGAATGATCATGCAGGCAACAAAGCCCGTGTGTAAGGTCAGTGTGTTGTGTGGGGGAACAGTGTGAGAGAGGGAGAAGGAATGGGGTCTGGGGTAACTACAGTATTTAGTATGGTGCATAGTCTGTGCAGTGTGTTCATCTTAGGCAAACTCTTGTATGTCTATTTAATCTTAAGCATTTCTAAAATCTGCCCTGCAAGCACACATGTCAAAGTAAATCATTGTTACAACTTTAAGAGGAAATTTATCATGGATCAGAGGAAAGCAGCTTAGGAAGATATAGTTAACAGCCAGAGGTCTTTAATATTTGAATAAAAAGACTTCACTTACTCCTCCAATGATCAAGCAGACAATGAAATCCTTGGGTCCTTAGGTTAAGTCATATCTTCGTCTCTGTGCTGCTGCTGGAGCAGCAGCACATATTTTAAAATTTTATGTCGCACAATTACTCGAGCGGAAACAAGTCTCTTGACTCACCCCTACAAGCTGGCTCAGTCTCATTCCACTGTGGGTTTTGTGCGTCCACGCACTCAATCACTACGGAACCTTGCTCCAGCGTGTAGCCGGGGTCACATGAGAATTCAACCACTGCGCCCACACTGTAGGTGGAGTCACTGCTGCTGAAGTTGCCGTACTTCACAAAAGGCTCATAGCACATACCTTTTGCAAAAGCTGTGGACACAAAAACACACATTATCAGTCATAAGCGACGAGGTACAGCACGCATTTAGCAAACTCTGCAAACTGCGTGGTTAACCTGCCTTCAAATCTGATGGCTGCACCAGTGGAGGTCATTGTGCCATCCGTGGTGAACTCTATGAACAAGTAACGTCCAGTACTGAGCACACCCTCATTGGGCAAATACTCAACCTCATAGGAGTCATACACAGGGGGAGAGTCTATGTTGTTGCCATTCTTAATCAGCAGCCTAAAAACACACAAACACAGATTAAATAGCCTTGAAAGGTAAGAGAAGCATACAAAGGAAGTTACAAGCTATGTGAGTGCTGCTCACTGTTCCAGTTGTGACTGTAATAAGTTTGTGATAACATTCTCCACCACTCGGTAATGAGGTGAATGGCCATGTGTGACAATAGCCATGTGGATCAGTAGTTAGTGAAAAAAAATGTAATGCAATCTCTGTTTCCTACCTCTCACTACCCTCTGTAGTCCCTTCAATTCATTCGCTTGATAGAACATTGTTAAAAGATTATAATGATAAAAGGTCCTTTCAAATTCTTTTGTCACTCCCTAAAGATTTTGGTTATTTATAGCCTTTGAGGGTTTTAATGTTCTATCCACAGGCATACTGTTTCCAGAAAATGAGTTTTAAGCTCAGTGCCATCTATTAGCTGAAGACACCCACACACACACACAAATTTGCACACGCTCAATGTGTGCATTGAATTTAGCAGTGTGCATAACCTCACCTGTCATCGTCCTCTGCCAGAGCCACCTTCTCAAAGTGAATGTGAAGCCGCTGGCCTTCAGGGGCCTCCAGGACCCAGTGGCATGTCAGATTGTTGCTGTAGTTGCCAGGGAAACCAGGAGAGATGATACGACCATAGGTGGCATTTTTTATCATTCCCCCACAGGATGCTATATGACAAAAAAAGATAGACAGAGAAAAGAGAGGAAAAAGACAAAGAGTTGGAGGGTAGGACTAGACGAGAAAAATAATGATACCGACTATGGCAGGGGGTTTGGGAGAAAAGTCCCTGTCTGAGCATGGACTGCATCGATATCCAGTGGACTGTGGCTGGACTACACTAGACAGCTCACCTGGGTCTAGGAGTATGTGACTGTGTGTGATGGACTTGTAAAGAGAACAGCAAAACAGCAGCTGTAACACAATCAGTTCAGAGCAGCTGCAGGCAGGCACGGAGAAAGGCTGAAACTGGCAGATGAGTCTTTAGCAGCAGGGGAAGGATAGTTATGCGGCCCAGTTCTAATTAAGGCAGCCAGGTCCAGTGGCCTTGTTTTGCCCTGTCTCCAAAGAATAGCTCCCTGTGCTGCTAATCACGTACAAACACACTCATTTGGCCTCCAAGTGTAACTAATCAACTCAGTAGGAGACAACCTGGTGAAAGCTTCCGTTAATCAAAATAACTTGTATTCTAGAGGAAAGCTGGGGAGAAAAGGACTTACAATATACCTCCAATTTTTTATTTATTTTGCATCATTTTAATTTTAAAAACTTTTGAAATAATATTGCACAATAAGTTTATGGGAAAACATTTGGACACATTTTATTACAAGTGCAAGTTTAGTTTAGAAGTCTGCCCCCAAGCCAGTGTTAACTACTAGGTAGTTGTTAAGGTAATTGAGCAAAAAATAAATAAACTGAAGGCATTAGAGCTACAGTTATAGAAATTTGTTTTGTGTTGTTACATTTTGAGTGGTTGTGTTGTTGCAGTCCAATAAGAGGGGCTACCTAAATGCCCTGAACTGCTCCTAACTTTTGAAAGCCAGCGTGTGTCTGGCAAAGAACCAATTTGTCTTACCCACACATCGGGGCTCCTTCCCACTCCAGTAAGGTGTGGTTGCATTGCGACAGGTAAGCATTTTGGGACCTTGCAACTTGTAGCCAGTGAAACAGCGGAAAAAGGCTTCTCCACCAGCATGGAGGTGCGTCACAGAAACTTCTCCACCAGCAGGCTCTTTGGGAAAAGCACAGCTCAGGACAAAGGCTGGAAAGGAAAGAAATAGAGACAAAGAGGTAGAAAGTAGCCAGTTTAGTCTACTATAGTATGAGGGAGAAAATGTTTTTTATGTGATATTTATGGCATCTCTGTTCCTGACGGACCTAAAAATCATCTAAAACTGAAATGTATTATTTGAAAAGAACTGTATGAATGGATACTCAGTGACTTACTTTAGAGGAGGACGAATGTGCTAATTTGGTTCTGCTAATGTAATGTCAAAAATGATCAAATGCGCAATTGACATCTGTGGTCTGTCCAGTGTGTGACACCCAAGATCTCGGAGAGTAGTGACAGTTTAAAAACTTACGTTATAATGCAATGCAATTATAATCAACACAGTTAATCATTTTGCTAATTACCAGCTCTGTAATGAAAGTGCAAATGACTAAATGTATGTCCGACAAATAAACAGTTTATTAAGAGACCTGCATGGTCTAACTCCATTTTTATCACAATTTTAAATATTCTTTCAGCGTCCTTACGCTTGGAGGGAGAATTTCAATGTGAAAATGTGATCAATGTTTGATTCTGAACAGAAGTCCAATTTTCACCAAAACAAACAGCCAACAATGTTAACTGGCTCCACAACATAATCCTCTGCCCTGCATTGTGCATAACCCCTGCTGTTTTGTTGCATTGTTGACCATGTTGTTTCTCCTCCAAACCAGAAACTGAGTACCCATACACATTTAGATGTAAAGGGTGGGGGGGGGGGGACAAATTGTTTTTCCATTATTTCTGTAAATAAACAATGTTTAACTCTGTCTCTGCCTTCCAATTTCACACACAAAGACATACACACACACACACACACAAAATTAGAGATGCTTTATAACCAACCTTCAACAATGTTTATAAACACTACATTTCCTAATTAATTGCAGTTTACCCGTTTATGCAGTATGCTAATGTACAGAGACATGTTTGCAGAACTACAGTCATTAACATCTCCAGGGGGATGCGGTGTAGAGCCACTGCAAATGCTTTGACAAATGGAAATGTTGCTGATCAGTTCAACATCATAGTGGACCCGTAATGTGATTGCTGGAAGAGGAATTGCCTCTGCAGTGGTTGTCGAAGAGTTCCAGCAGGGCAAGATCAATGTTCCTGGACTTGCTTTGCATTGTTGTCCTGTCTCTGTTTTTAAATGAATGGTGTAGGATGGGATAGAGTTCACATGGATAATGGAGCGAGCTAACCAAGTCTGTAATAGAAGCTATTAAAAAGCCTTCTCTTCCTGTCTAACAACCACACTGTTCTACCTCATTAGTGTAGGCAGTTTAATGACCAAACTAAAAACTTTTAAACTTCTGGAAATGTGTGGACAACAACACAGGCAACATAATTGGACCTACGATGGCTTGTGTTACAATAACAGTGTGATTGTGCACCAGCAAAATTACAGACAACTTCAAAAAGCTGCAACTTTACTCAAACTTAGCAAGTTGCACGTCATGTTTCAGCTTAATGGAGTGTATGCAAATCCTAAATAAGAGTTAATAGAAGGAGAAAATAACAAGAAAAAGGACATAGCTGAAGACCTGTCTACATTGAAATTGTATTTGCAGCCTTAAAAGCAATTATGATAATAATCAGGCATGGCCCATGTAGTGTAAACACCTTAATCTACTTATGTTAATACGATTAAGGTTATTTGGTGTTTGCAGAATTAAGACATGGACTACAGCAATTTTCAGCTGCATTGTTAAAGGGTTGTTTGGTGTGAGCCTGTCTACAGAAATGTACTTAGATGTTACCTATTTCTATTTTTTCTTACATCCAGCTTTTTTGCTATTAAACTGAACATAACAGAACTGTATTGTCTATCACTCAACATGCACTTCGACAGGCACGAATCAAAGAGGTAGAAATGGCAACATCATCGTCAGTGTTTGTTAAGGAAAATTAAAAGTCACAACAAAATTTTGTTAGATGGTTTAAAACACGACGGACCCAATCTAAATTGCCCTGATAAAGTAAACACAAATTGTTAAAAAGATTTGCACACAGGCTCTATGACAAAGGAGCTAAAGGCTCGGCTTCTTAACATCATTAGTTTAGAGCTGGAGCAGTGGCCACATGTAAAAAGCAAAAGCTGACACTTGGACAAGCTTGTTGGTCCACACCCACATGAATACTTTAATATATTTGGGTTCTGAGGTCTTTGCATGCACAGATGCAGAGCAAGTGGAAGTTAAACAGCACAAAATAGATTAGACACTCGGCAGCAGGTTGGATTTGAAGTGCTTTCAGCCAGTCGTTTGTAGATGAAAACAACACTTTAGTGATGTTTCTGACATTGCCTTGAAGGGAAATTGGTTATTCAAAAATATTATTCTATCAGTGTTTGAACTCAAACTCGAGGGAAAACAGCCCTAAATGCATAATGGCCATAAAGGCTTGTGAAACTGCCCCCATGTACCATGTTTTAATCTACTGACTTGGATTTTTCTTTTACACAAGCCACTGGTTTCCACCATAATGAAACAGGCCTTTCTTTTGCAGTAAATCAGTGAGCAGGGACGAGGTACACTGCCCCTGGGTCATCCATTCAATTCACAGTTTATCACTAGCTCCAATGAACCTAGTTATTGCCATTATCATAGCAGCATTTACATCCCCATTGAGCATGCAGTGGGAGAGCCAGAGGCAAAAATTGTGGAGCCAATTCCTGAAGTATTAAATTACGTGCTTCCTCCATTCCAGTAGATGTGGTGCTGGGCCATAAAGTCTGATTGTTTTGCCATTACAAATAATAGTTCCACAGTGCAGACACCCAGGAAGATTAGCTGATGGTACTGTAGGGCTGCAGGAAACAGATGTGGAGCTTATGTCTTTAGTTATTGTTTCCTTGTAGAGGAGAAGAAACAGTCACATTGGTAATATTAAGGTAAAGCTTCAGTTTCACAACAATTATAGACTATGGATTCAGCTTTTGCAGAGAGACAAAAAGTGTCCACCACAGATAAGAAGTTGCAATGTTCACCAGTAAAACGTTTATGTTTTCTGAATCACTGATAGCACAAACAATGTGATGGAAAAGTATATTTCATATACCCAAAATCGTTCATTATTATTTAGGTTAATAGTCATCTTAGAAATGCGCAGCAACCTGGCTATCATCACAATCCAGAAGGCCAGTTTACCTAAACGGACAGATTCATTATATTGCGACCAAGAGCGATTTTAGGAGGCTTGTGTCTGAACAGAGGTAGGTTTTATAACTGTGTTATTTGGAACCTGTAGTGATTTTTGTGGAAAATAATGGACTGCCACGTCCTGTTGATTGCTGTGTGCTTTCGTGCCTAGCAAGTTTCATCTTTTGTATAGGGCTTTACTCTACCTGATACTGTGTGCGAAGCCAATAATGCTGCTTTGATGTGACAAAAAGTCCAGCAACACAACTGCAAGTATACTGTCAGTTCCCGTGTGATAAAGTGGTAGTTTTACCACAGTAATTAGGATTTGTGTATTTTTACCTGTGGTTGCCACTGCATGCAGAATCAATAGCTATAGTTATCTGGAACAAAATCCAGGGCCATGACAGTTAAATGCGAGTTCACTGCTGAGTACTGTTTGATAAAGTGTTGTCTAGCCACATCAACCAGGACCTTATATACCTTTCTCTGTGTGCTTTTTTCTCTTTCTCTCTTTCTTTAGTAACATCCACACACACACGTTGTCCCAGCCGCCATTTTGCTTGCTCTTCCCCCCTCTAATGTTAGTATTCTTTATTAATAATTCTGTAATATTATTAACTCAATTCATGGTATTAAATATATTTGATGCTTGCTAATAACCAAACCTGTCACTAGACTCCAAAACAATGTAGTATGGTGTGTGTGTCTGTGAGAATGTGTGTGTGTGTTTGTGTATGTGCCCGACACGGTGTGTAAAAACTGTGCTGCTCTCTTTGCTGTAATATGTATGTTTGTGGCTGCAGCTGCTGTAGAGTTTATATTGTTTATGCAATGCTGTATTTGGTGATGTTCCATTCTGCTGTTAAAGTGACCCACGACAGTATCCGTAGCTCTTTTATTTATTGTTGGTTATTTGTGATTGTCTGAGTTTTGTCTCTTTTCAGGTTAATTGTAGTGAGGCTTTACAGAGGAAGGCTGTTGTTTAATAATTTAAAATCATTCCCTTCAACTGAAGGATATTTTTCTATATATCTTTACTGTAAATAGTTTCTATTTCAAATGCAAAACAGAAACTTTCAATTGTTCAATGTCTCCCAGTTAAATGTTGGGTGTTGCTGGGGTTCAAACAGTTAATAAAACTAAGTTTAGTTAAAAATCTAAATAAAAAAAGGAGAGATAAAAAGTGCTGTAGGACCTATGTATTAAATCAATTTGATGCTTTAAAGGCAAAACAATTGAAATGCTAATGAATATTAGATTAGAAAAAACAACAGTAAATTCCTGTATAAACCACACCCACTTCCAGTCTTATAACTGAATACAGATACAGAGACAGATCATTTTGTTGGTTGAACAGAATGACATTTCAGTACACCCACAATGGTTAGTGATACATATACAGTCATTTATATAATTTACTGTCTGTATTTACTGTCCTAGTGGAAAAACTTGGTGTGGAAATGATGCATCACCAAACTGCATCCCCATATTTCTTTCAAAATTACACTTTTCAGATGAAGGAGGGCATCACAGGTCAAAACAAGGAGACATTACTGATGGCAGTGTTGTAAGGTCCCTTTAACATCACTTATAGGTGACACGTATGGGTACTTTGTTTAATATTGTTTTAAAATAAGTGTCCATAAAAAAATGAGAGTGAGGGAAAAAATAGATAAAAGCTTTTGCGATTTAAATGGCATAGTTTGAAGTTAGAACATTATTTTTTATGTGTAGCTTGTCATAACCAATACACAATCATAAGGCATCTGAGCTGGGCTAAATGTTTTTTTCACTTTATTTTTGTCATTTCACAGTACTTGTTCACAAGAGTTCAAGCGGAACACA